GGAAAGAGTTAAATTATTATATCCAAATTTGAGAATGCCTCTCCCCCTGGCAACTACCAGTCAAGCCATTTCTTGGGGTCCTTATAAGAGGTCTTTAAAGATGATTGATGGTGAAAGCAAACTCTCAATGTGAGGTCTAGGGAACGTGCCAGAGTGTATTAGTTTTCATGTTTAGCAAAATGAACGAGTGAACTGGGAGACTCGGTCCCTTCCCACAGGTCACAGAAGTACTGTTTGCACATCAAATACAACCCAGTCGTGTTGTTCATTACAGAGTCTCTCCATTTGTTAATGACAATTACGCTTAAAGCCTCAGGCATTGTAAAGGTGCATAAACTACCGTGCTGGTTCCCCAGAGACGCTTTTGGTCCATTTCATCTGCAAATTGACGTTGACTCCCACAGGAGTTTTGCTGTAAGGGTTAAAGAATTTGCATTCAGCCCACAAGAAACCCACAATGCTTTGAAAGAGCCGAAGAGCTCTTCAAAGAGCTTTGACCTTACTTGTTTGCGTGCCTTGAAATAGATTAATTTCCAAAATCCTCACCTCTCTCTCGACGTATCTCTCCACGTGTCATTTTAAGAGAGGGACGGGCTGCGGGGAGAGACATGCTGAAAAGGAAGATTATATAAGGAGAGTTAATGAAAAAGTCCTTGAGATGTACGGCGGGGCTGTCAGCGAGAGCAGTGATAGATCGAGCCTCGCTGTTATTAGCATGCGTGCGGCGGACTTTTACACCGAGACCCGGGCCATTTCTTGATTAATTAATCAGGTAATGTACAGTATCCGAGGGACAAATGTGGAAAGTTTGGCCTTTCGATGCTTATGTAACCAAAGGAGTACTTCTCCCACAATCCTGTGCTGGATCAAGGGGTCGTTTGAGCCAAGGAGCAGCCCGTGGAAAGTAGAACAATAAACATATTTGGGGAAAACCGTTTCCCATTTCATGAATATGTTCAGTCTGATGGCCCGTCTGAGGTAATTCTGTTGAGTTTAGAGGGAAAGTTTGTGTTCTCGTGCTCTCCGGTGAACCTTGGCAAGAGAGTTAAGAAAATAAGCACAGGGTTACAGTGTTTTTTTTGGGAAATTGCGGGCATGTGACATCACACATCCATTCGCTAACTATTGAAGAGAGTTTTTGTTTGGTAATCAAATGGTTTTCATAATCAATGCACATTCGTACTTGAATGGAGGCCGCGTGAGAAAGCGACTTAGTCAATGAAAATGATTACTTCCATCAAATGGAAATGTACTTTTATTGGAGGCACTAATTCATATTGTCACCCCACAGATTCGCACACTCTCTGTTATTGCTTTATTTGTACAAAATTTGATTATCACCCCCAGTAATCCTGTACACGCATAAAACTCCCCAAGAATTATTGGAAACGCATGTTACGAGTCTTGCTTTGACTGGAATATTGACCACAATCGGTACTTCGCCACGTCTTCCCTCGAGCCAAAGCTACTAGTGTGCACATGTCTGCAGGAAATGACATCACTAAGAAGCACAGTATTTTGAGACATGCCTTGGAGACTTCGGATACCAGAAGGCAGCTGTTGATAATGACACGGTGTTGTTCCACTGACTGATGAGAAGCCAGTCTGTACCACATTCAGTGTAACGATTTAAGATTTCAATCAGGAAGGGACAATGGTTGAGGAAGTTAGTTGGGGAATGTCTTTGGGGACTGATAACACACACAGACAGACAGACAGACAGATAGACAGACAGACAGACAGATAGACAGACAGATAGATAGACAGACAGATAGACAGATAGATAGATAGATAGATAGATAGATAGATAGATAGATAGATAGATCGATAGATTTAAGCCTATATACAAAACTTTATCTCTTAAGCTCTGCATACTCACTTCCTGTTAAATCCTTAACAAAGTTACTGCCAACCAGAGTAAGAGTTGATGTTGTCAGTCTCCTAAAAGAAATATTGTGAAGTTAAGCATTTGTGGCATAAGGATGAAGTCACATTTACCTTTGTACAGCGAAATTCCTCAAGTAAAGTTTTCTCAATAGGAATCTGCACAATTGCAAATTTCACATGAAGGGTGTGTTCCTCATGTTGATTGTGCATCATATTCATGTTTGTTGATTGTTCAACATGTAATTTTACTGCATTTCAAGTATATGTGTAAAGTTTCTTAAGCAAATGTAAGTGGTGTTTGACCATGGATCTTCTTTGCCCGTGAAATTTTGCCAAAGTTTAATTAATTTGATATATATATATATATATATATATATATATATATATAAACTAACCCCTCACAATGGAAATGAATGGAGACATTTTTTGTAAGATTTACATTTAGTCATTAGATTTCAAATATAAAAAGAAGAAGAAGCACCTACATTAATTCTTCAGTTAAAACTTACAATTTATGTACTATTTGAGCTACAAAGCTGTCTAAATCACTACAGCCTTATTAAGGTTTATGGTGTATTGTTCTCATGGCAACATAGTTGTAAAATAGGATATAGGGCCTATCGTATTTTGTGGAAAATAAGTCACACCGGGTAAAAATTGCATTGTTGAGGGGAAAAAAAAACATAAGTCATATTGGATTATAAGTAACTATATCTTATTACATTTGAAAATGATGTAAAATACTGATAAATGATAAAACATTTACACACATTATAACCATGTATTTTAGTTTCCCTCACTTCACAGCAAACACAGGACATTTCAGACTGCCTGAAATTTTTTTCCCCTACTAAAATCATGTTAACATGCATATTGTGAAGTTGTGGCTATGTTCACACTGTCAGTTTTCGGGATTGACAACCGCATTTACTTACAGGTGTGAGTCTCGAAATGTCCCGTTCACACAGCAACTTACAGTAGCGTCTCGAATACTGTCCGTATGAACGTGCAACGGGAGTCAAGGGACATATTCCTTATCAGTTACCATAGCAACAGTGACCAAAGTAATATCAAAGATGGCGACGTCCTCAAAACTGAAAGTCTTATCACTTTCTGACATGACAAGAGTCCAATCGAGCCGCGAGTTCATCCGTCAAATCTTCATTAACAGACAGCAGCTTTTATATTTGGGTGGAGAGCGGAGCATTTGAGTCACGCATAAAAAAAACAGAAACTGACGGGACTCAGGTGGAGATCTGAAACTTTCAGATGACACACAGCTCATTTGTCCGTTACTGTAAGTTACTGAAACCAGACATGAAAACACGCAGCACACGCTAAACATGCGTTTGTGCAGCAGAGCGGCTCTCTCTCGTGCTGTATGACGTGACAGACAAATAGTTGTCCAGTCCTGATCCGTTCACACAGCGCGGTTTTTCCGAGAATGCGGTTGTGAGTCCTGAAAATAACCGTACTGTGTGTGAACGTAACCTTATTAAGGACTCAAATACAGGACTGACAACCGTATTCTGCTGCTGTGTGAACGTGGCCTGTGAGTATTTGAACGTTTATGAATTGGCCCCATTCACTTCCATTGTAAATACCTCATTGTAACCATGTTATGTATGTATGTATTTATTTATTTAAAGAAAAGGGTAAGTGGAAAGTCATTTTGTGGTTATCAACAAAATACTACCACAAATACTGTCGAAAAAGATTAATTTCTACTGGACCCAGTACAATTTCTAGTGGACATGAGTAAAATTTGTTGAATCAAATGCTAGTTATGACATTTATTTATTTTGTTGTTTACTGGTGAAATAAGTTGGAATTGATTCCATCAAGCTGTACTGTTGCTCAGGTTCCAGTTTTATAATTATAGCTTTATTATTGACAGACGTTTCAAGTGCAACTTTATTTCAGTGCATTTAGAAACATGCATAAAGTAGTGTTATTTAAGATACCTGCTACTTTTTTTTTTATTAAATATTAAGTGATTTTATATTGCATTCTTTTTTGTGGAAATGTGAAGGGATATGTTGTCATTCTTGGCCGTTCCTCTCTTTGATGTGTCAAGTATTCTGACAGTTTCATTTCCTTTAGGTGTTCCAGTGCTCTTATTGAAAAGAGAAAGAAGGATAGAACGGTTTGCTCCTCTTAAACACAAACAATCTAGAAGTCCATCTGAATTTATCCCACACTCTGTCTCCGCCGCCGCAGGTTCGGCAAAAACCGCAAAGATGAGAGGCAAGGGGACAAGATGGAGCGGAAAGGGTCCAGCAGGAGCAAGATGGAAGAAAGTCAGGCCACCGAGGAGGAGACGCAGAGAATGAGGCTGGAGCAGGAGAGGTGAGCGGCTGCGTCCTGATCCCCGTAAAAAGCCTCTCAATTAGCCACTGCTGCCCGGGAAATTAGCAAACTGTCTAATTAAGTAAATGGGGTCCGGGGAGGTAAAAGTTCTGGGAAAGCTCTTAGATGTCATTGGTGTAAACGGTTGAGAGCTTTTATAACAGTACATTAAATTGATCACGTATGGATTGTTTGTTTCTTTTGTGCTGCTGAACGGAAGGAACCAACCTGATAATGGAGGTTTTTTTGGGCGGCGGACTAAATAGAAGCTCTTGAATGAAAAGGGATGTTGTTTTTTGTTTTTGTTTGTTTTTTTACTGTAATTTCGGCTTCCGGTCTCTCAAATTATTAGTGATGTTGTTTCTAGGCAGATGTTCTTTTTCCCTCTCACAAAGATGGGTAAAAGCAGAGCAGTAATTTTAAATAGAAATATGGGTTTGTATATAATGTAATATAAATATTGGGCAGCACAACTGTTTCCAACATTGATAATAATCAGAAATGTTTCTTGAGCAGCAAATCAGCATATTAGAATGATTTCTGAAGATCATGTGACACTGAAGACTGGAGTAATGATGCTGAAAATACAGCTGCGCATCACAGAAATAAATTAGAGTTTAACAGATATTCACATAGAAAACAGCTCTTTTAAATTCTAATAAAATTTCACAATATTACTATATTTACTGTGTTTTTGATCAAGTAAACCAAGCTTTGATGAGCATTAAAGATTTGAAACAAACAAATAAATAAATAACTTGTGACCAGTAGTGTATATTCATATGTACAGCAAAAAGCTCACAGGAAATAAAACATACATCGAATACAAAAATATACTTAATATTTCATTGGTTCTTCTTGTTTTTGATTACAGCAGTCATTCTCCAGGGCAGTATAAGTTTTGCGTGTGGTGTGCATTTTTATTTATTTATTTATTTATTTATCACAATTTGTTATGTTTCATTGCATTATTACAAAAGAAACAATTGAGCGCGTACATTAGTTTTACACTCCAAGCACAACTATGAAATATGCTTATAAAACCCTTAATAAAATGTTTGAATGAAGGGCAAAGATTAATTTTCTTAGGCTGGACATCACTTTCGGCCAGTACTGTATATGTAAAAAAAAAAAATGCCCTTAAAAATGTGCGTTTGGACCTGCCTTCGCATTAAACAGCCATAAAACAAATTAACTTTGTTGTCAAGCCTCTGATGATGATGCCTCATAACTGAAATGTAACAATAGGCACAGTCCCGTCTTTAGTGGAGGCGTCGCTCAGGCCCTGCGATGACAATAAGCCTGCGTCCACTCAAAGCAACATCTGAAACCCATTTCTAAGCGCTTGTCTTGTCTCTGACACTCTCCACTATGGGCTGGGAACCAGGCTTTGGCTGCGGGCCCAACACATTGCCAGCTCTGCCCCAAACACAGCATGCTTTCCAGGGCCACGCTCTTATACGTCTACCACCTCTGGCCCTCAGAGGCAGGAAAACCAGCAGGAACGTCGGGAGATAAGTGATGGTGTTCGCTAGCCCCTGCTCATGTTTTGTCTGTATTTGTTTTTTTAAAAGGTTTTCATATTTCCCACGTTGCCCTTTTCGGTATTGTTTAGTTACTATGCCCTGCTCTTTTTTTTTCCCGGTTATCTTTCTTTTTTCCTTTTCTCACCTCTGCTGTTTTCCTTGAGTTGATAGCAGGGAATCCTTGAGGGAAATCGGTCTGTTATAATAATAATCTGCCCGTGGTGATGCGATATTCAAAGTCTCTCACCAGGAAGACTGACAGCTAGGAAAATCAATTACAGCCTTATTTTTAGGGGTGTTATTACACGCTGTGCTACAGGTTACACAGTCATGTGTGTGTGTGTGTGAGTGCACATACGTGCATGAGCAGAGGCTTTGATTGATTATACAAGGCGCAGGGACAAGGCCATTTCTACGCACTTATGAAATTATAGATCAGGTGATAGGTGCCGCTGATGGCTATTGGAGGCGATGTATCCAGCAGCGCTAAAACAAGCCGCTGGGCTCCGGGAAGAAGAGGACCCGGCCAAAGCCAGCCCTCCCCTGACACGACCGATCGTTAATTCGACTTGACGTTTTGACAGGGGCTTTTAGTGATCCAGAAGCAGAAGTCAGCGCAAAGGTTGGCTAGATTAATTTTCATAACGAGCCACCATTAGCCTATATGTTTCTGACAGGGAGGGCACAGCCCACTTTTTAGCACACCTGACCCTCAAGGATGTTTATGAAATTCATCTATGACTCAGAAGCGCTGGCTTTAGCTCTGGCGTATGTGCTGGATGACTTGATTCTTCCAGAATCCTTTTCTGCTGTTAGTTTTAGTTTGACGGGCATGATATTAAAGGAATAGTTCACCCAAATATTTAAATCATTGCTTCATCATCAAGAAAACGTTTTGTCTGCGGAGCACAAAGTAGATTTGTTCATGCTGCAATTTTTTTGGGGGGGGGAAATCATCATGATCACTGGTCCTCTAAAAAGCTCAGGAAAAGCACAAAAATCTCCATAAAAGTAGCTGGTATGATGTAACCCTTGTGCTGTGCTGATAATCCTTTACCTGATTTAGTGTTCCCGGTCAAAAATTACCGAAAGTGCTTGTGAATCATTATGCTATATGATCACCAAATCTTGAGTTCATTGTTAACTTGTTTTCTTTCCGTTAGCACAGGTTTTGTGTTTCTTTTTTTTTTTTTTGGATCTGATTGATCATGGGCCTTATTGATCTGATCTTATGCAACTCAGTTTTTGAGTGAAAAAAGAGCATTTTTTGTGGAATAACATTGACAGTGTTCTCTCAAAAGCTGAGGTGCATAAGCTCTGATCAATGAGGCCTACGATCAATACAACATTTTTGACTGTTAGCACTATAAGAGAAACAAAGTGGGAAAACAATCCCAAAAAAGTACAGAAATAATCAAACACTTCTGGGGAAGCTGCTATTCCCTGTGTGAGCAAAGTTTTAGCCCAATTGCGAACTTGCATTGTTTGGGAAAACATGAGGGTTTAGTGGTATATTTTCAAGTTTGAAGCTAAACAGCTGTTTTTTTTTTTTTTTTTTGGTAAATATCATCTCTGCACTAAAATCTTTGCACCTCCAACTGTTCAAACTTGGCACTTTTTATTTGATTACAAGCCGTGTGAGAATGTCTTAATGTGTCTTAACCCTCTGGGGTCGGCAAACGCGCCGAGGCATTTTGTTTAACTTAAATTACTCTGTCATTTTTGATCATACAGATAAGAGCAATACATGATATTGAATATTCACATATGGCATCCTTGTTTGTCTTTTTAGGAGCCCCATTTACAAGCTCATTGGAATAAACTGTGCCTGTGGCAGAATTTTCTGAAAAATTATATTATGTAGCATCTTGCATGTTTTGCGGCACTTTCAAAGTCAAATGTCCAGTGAGTGGTGCTAAACATGAACGTGAAAGTTGCTTATTGTACGTATCACAACAGTTTGGAAATGAAATGTCTGGTGAGTGGCACTAAAAGATTAATGCTATGTCGCGTTTGAAAATAACACAGCACCTACGATAACCATACGATAAACCTAACCGATATTGTTAACAAAAGCAAACGTGAGATAAAGACACTTTTGGTCAAGCAACCATGGCATCTTATTTGGCTTCTACAAGTCTTTTGAGCTTTTATTATTGTGACTCGTATTTCATGGGACTCGTATCCGAGTGCTCCGTAACGCAAGTACAATGCTGTACCGGGTGCGCTACTGAGCAAGTTTACTATTTCAAAAATGCCAAATGTAATGAGTTGGTTATGTGATGCAAACAAAAAATGTACGGTATTATGTATTGTTTACAAATCATGCATTATGGTAAAAGTGTTTTGAGCTAATAACATAGTATTGTGTAAGGAACCATGTGAAAATAAGTCTTTATTAAGCAATAATCTGAAAAGGAGTTGCTGGTGTTTTACTGCCACAGGTGGTTATTTCAGCTGCAAACGTGCATTGTGTGTACAGTATTGATATGTTTTTGAAGTTTTGCAAAAATGTAGGTACAGTAGAGGCACGTTTTTCCAGTGAGCCTACAGCATATGTTGCCCATTTATGTTGCATGCAACAAATAAGTCATATTTGGAATAATTTCCATTTTTTGCTTTTGTGTACAGTTTTGTTGTTCAGCTACTTGTGTACAATGAGTACATACACTGGCCCCAAAAAAGCATTTGAGACACTAAAAATGCATGAATGCCATTGCACTAGATAACAAAATATCAAACCAGTTTTAATGACAAATAGCACAAGCACATTTTGTCAAGGACAACATTACGTTTGAAATGAAATAACAATAGATTGATTGTGAATCACTAGTGTAACGTGGTAGGGCACGTGGTTTATGAGTAATTGCAATAATTGTTTTTAAGAATGGCTTTTTGGGGGGCCTCTGTATCACATAGAGGAAAAAAATGGGGTAAAAATATGCAAAACTGCTCAGAAGCAGCACTGCTCGCAGGCGTGATTTGGAGTGAAGTTGATAAAGTGTTGCCATCAGTGGCATTTGTTTTTGTCACAATCGAGTAAATTGTAAGCAGCTGTGTACCCCCCCCCCCCAACTACCTTCCATCCTTCGTTAGTCCTCAACAAACCAAATTTTCATCCCTCATCAAGGGCTTCAGCAGAGCCTGGAGCATGCATTTTTGCAGGAACACGGTAACCATTATAGGGCCTTGTTTATACCTGTTGCATGGTTGCAGTCCTGTCCACCATATGTAACTTGACTGAGAGGACCACCATGGCAGGGGGCCATTTATAGCATGTGCATGGGAAGGAGTGTGTGGGCACCAAATCACCATGCCAGCAAAAAGATATATCAGTTGCTTTCATCCTCCTCTGTGTATTTACACTCGGCTGATCAGGCTTTATGTCTTTATGTACACACAGCAAAAATGCCCAGTGCAAACATTATGAGGACCAGGTAAACTCTTCCCATGCAACTTCTCCATTGAAGTAGA